ACACCCCTTTATGCAAAAGGCATTTAGTCCATCTGCAAGAGTTTCCAAAGTTCTAACAGTTTTAGCACTGCTGAAAAATCCAACTCCCAAGTCCCTGGTAAGGCAAACTCTTTAGTTGCAAGCCCCTGTACAAATGAAAAGTTAAACACTTTTAACATTTAATGGCACAAAATAAGCATTTTCATTCCAGAAGTTACAAACGGTAATATAAAGGAATGGGACCAAAGCAAGTCCAAAATCCAGCAGGGCAAACATTAAGTCCTGTAGTTCTACATCTAGCATCTGAAGCAATCTGTGGCACATTGTGAGCTCCAAAGAGCTTGCATGACTCCACCCCTATGGCACTTTTGGTGGTTACAGCTCTTACGTCTTTTCTCTTAGGCCCACTTTGCTCCCTCCCTGCAGCTTTTCTCAGACAGTCCATGTTTTTGGATTTTCTAAACTTCTGGGGTCTCCACTGCACATTTTGCTTTACACTCACAGCTTTAAATACTGCCCTCTCAGGAGCACACTGCCTGGACTCCCAGGCTTTCTGAAATCTTGGTGGAAGCCTTTTTAACCTCAGAACTCTTGCAGTCTACATGTGCCTAAAACCAGCACCACGTGGAAGGTGCCAAGGTCCACTGCCAGCTGGAGCCGTAGCCAGGCTTGCTTCTCTCTGGGCTGTAGGGGTTGAGTGCTTGAATCACTGAGCACTCTGAACCTGATAACAAGAAACAAATTCTCTTTTGTTTTTTTCTTTTTTTGGTACCGTGAATTGAACTCAGGCCCTTGCGCCTTATGCCGCTGAGCTATATCCCCACCCCAAGAAGCAAATTCTCTATGCTGCCACCATTCTGGAACCTGGTTCGGTTGCTGCTACCATTCTGGAACATGGTGCTCTGTGGCTCTCTTAAAGCAAAGTCTTTCACCTTTTCAGTTTTGAGGCCGCTAAGGGTGGAGGTTTGCTGCTTCTTTTGATGCCCTCAGTCCATCTTTTTGATTCTCTTGCTCTTTGATTTCTCTTGCTCAGAGGAGCAATCAAGAGCTCCTCTGCTCTATCCTTATATTCTACCACTTTACTGGAGCTTTCTTTTTGGCCAAACTCACAACATTTTTAATCACCCTGCTGGGCTCTTTGCTCTTGATTCTTAACATAAATCTGGCTAAAAGCCCCCAGCAATAGCCATGCCACAGCCTCGACATTTAACTGCCTTGAAATTTTTTCTGCCAGATTAATCATTCCACACACGGCCTTCTAGGTTCTCAGGAATGCATCACTGTTCTCAAATATTTTGTGAACATCTCATTCTCCAGTTTTTCTTTTTCACTTTTTGGGCAGGTTCTTGGCCCTGGTGTATTGTTATTTTAGGCATCTCCCAGGTTGAATAAGTGTTGCTGATTCATATCAGTCATATCTTGGGGGAAAAAGGTCTCTCACAGGGTATCTTAGTTACTTTTTTGTGCTTGACATCCATACTTAAAGGAGGAAAGGTTTATGTCAGCTCATAGTTAATAGAAGTTTGAGTCCATGATTAGCTGGTGACAAAGCAAGGTGGCATGGCAGAGGGGTATCACAGAGGAGAAACGTTCCCTAGTGTGGCTGGCGGGAAGGTACCAAGCATCCAGAGCCATGAGTAGCAGCAGTAGGCCTGCCTTCTTTCTCTCCCTTTATATTCCTGCTAGTCTGTAAGCTGCTGATTGGTGCCACCCACCCACAGGGTGATGCTTCCATTCTCCACTCCCGTGTTTGCAGTATCTCACCCTTAATTATTCACATACCTTAACGCAGCCATCTTTGAAAATTCCCACCTATTGACTCCTTGAGGCTTTAGGGGAACATTATCTATACACAGTCATAACACAGGGAAAGCCCTGAGTCAGACTGAGATAACAAGCTGCAAGTGGAGTACAGGGATACAGCAGCCAAGTCAAACGATAGTGTCTAGGATGGGGGGTCTTGGGAGAGAACCAGACCTGCTCAGCTCCTTCCAGTGGCTACCAGGGTCCTGGCTTTCAAACTACCAAAACTGCTAAGGCTGTGGCTTCTTAGCTGCCCAGCTGGAAATAGGAACATGGCACACTCAAGCAATGAAAAGTTCACTCTTATTATTAGGATTCAGTCCTTTTTCTTGAACAAATGTTACTCCGATGTTGCAAGCCTTTGTTCAACTTCTCGAGTTTTAAGAAAGTTGATTTTCAGAGGTTTTGCCAGTGTTGTCTTTGATTCTTTGGAGCAGCAGATTTTCAGATGTCCTAATTCTGCCACTTGGTAGGCCTTCTTTCCCAGGTGCTTTACCATTGCAGCATGTTCTTTATCTGCTTGGAAGTATTAATGATATACTTTTTAAACTTGTTTTGCCTTTACAGTCTGTGTTGCAAATATATTTGGTTATTTTGATCCTTCTCATGTTAGACTCTGCCCATATTGTAGCCTTCGTATTCATATTTAACAGTGTGAGCTAAAATGTTGCCTACAAGCTCTGAGTGTTTGTGTGGAGCTTATTGACTGTAATATTACTTGTACTTGTTTCCGGGGAATTATTAAAAACTTATTCTTTATCTTATAAAATTTTCTAGGAGGGAATAAATTAGATATGTCTTATGGTAAAATGAATTCCATGTGTGTTGAAGAAGTTGATGTAAAAATTCAAAATCAGAAAAACTAGGGGAAATAGTAGTAGTTATTTGTCAAACTAGTAAAGAAATTTATTTACTTGCTTTTGTTGGGAGTACTGGAGATTGAACCCAGGGCTGAATATGCACTGTGCTGCTGAGCTATACTTCTAACCCCAAGAGACTTTAAAGTGATATCCAAAAATTTAAAAGAAAAGAATTGGTTGCTTCAGAGGTAATCAGTAAGTATTCATTGTCTTTAAACACATGAAACTCACTTTGTGGATTTGTGTATATTGGTGACTTCCAAGAGAAGCATTTTGAATTGCTGCGCTCAGAACTAGCGGAAAAAAGCTAGACCTTCCATTCATCTGAGCTTTGTGGGTGTTAATCTGTTGTAAAGCCAGGGTAGTGGTATTTTGAGGTAATTGAGAAGAGAATGAGTCCCTAACGAGACCTGAGTATAAAAGCAGAGGAAAAGGCCTCCTTGCTTGAAGGAATTCTGAGGTAGGGTGCAGGTGCCAACAGCAGTGACTTCTTCAGTGTTCTCACACCTAGTTGTGGTTAATGTGGCCACAGCAAGTGGACCTCACTACTGCTGGAGAACCTACAGTTCTTTTACATTTGCTGTTTACAATTGGACCTGCTCTCAGAGGAATGGAAGAACACTTGCCTTCTTCCAGTAGTGACGCCAGACTAGAAATACACCTCAGTGCTACCTTGAAACTCATAGGTGTGCTCACATTAGAGGATGTGGCTGAGACACAATAAAGTGACATGTTAGGGCATCCCTGGAAACCTGTGGTGGTGGTATTGATGGGCTTGCCGAGCCACTGGAGATCTTCGTTATTTTAAAAGGGAGGGTGTTGGAAACATCTTAAGAAATTGATTCTGAGGCATCTTTCTAGATCTTCCAAATTCAGTAACTGCTGGATTTGAATGTGAGTGATAGTCTTACTCATATCTGGTCCTGAGTTGGCAGTTGTAGTTTTACTTCAGTGTCCACTTTGATTTACTTAATAGTGGTTGTCTGAAGCAATTTTGAGAGGAATTGTGAGGCTGTATCTGGGCTTAGATGGAAGAACAGCTTGAAAATTTTTCAATAATAATTTATTAATATTTCATGATGGGAATGGCAGAGTCAGTGGGTTTATCAGGCTGGTTTGTCTCTTCGTTTTGCTCATATTTTGGTTTCCCTGTTAATTAGAATTTAAGCTCTAGAGGGTAGGAACCTTATCCATTCAGCATCTAGCTAGCTTGGAGCTGGACACATAATGGATGCTCAAGTGATGTTGAATAAACAGGTGAATTAATGAACAAGCAGATGTGAAGTAGTTAAAGTGTCCTGGTGTGAAGTCATGGGGTAGGTTTAGGTACCAGCTTTCTGACACCATCACGCATCTCTCCTGAGGGATTCTCTGCATGGCATGTGCTTGGCACACGTACTAAAAGAATACAGTTCCCAGCTCAACTCCTGAGGAGTTTCCATTCCGGTTGAGAAGAAAAGGTAACTGTGAAATGAGAAGCGCTCATAGGGCAGAGTAGTGTGTAGAAAAAGTATTAAATAAATAATTTGGTAGCAGAAATGGGTAGCATTGGTTTGAATTCGGAGTACTTTGCTTTGGAATCTCAACCTTCACACATACTGCAGGATATCTGTATTTTGCCTGGGAAAGGCTCTTTTAACTTTGCTGTGAGATAATATTATACTCCCCTTACCTCTAATTTTTGGTGTCACCAGGATGGAATATTTTGACTGTTTAAAGAGTTTTGCTTCAATTTACATGTCAAGGTGAAATGATGCATTATAAATGTCATGCAGATTTTTAAAACTGAAGATTATGCAGTCACAGTGTTTATTTCTGGAGAAATTATAGCATTTTGAATTAAGCTGAAGTCACAAAAGCCTTTGTAATGTGATATTAAATGCATTTTCAAAAAGCTTTATCCAAAGTAACTGACAGTGATTAGAAAGAGGAGAAATACACACTTTTAAAATAATACTTACATTTTGTGTAAAGCAGGCACATTTAACGTTTGAGAACAGGGCTCTGGATTCCTGCTGGCAGGGCTGGAGTCTCCACCCCAGTAACTTACTCCCATAGTGAGCAATGGGTCATTGTTTCTTTAACCGTGTAACCAGGCACTGATAAGCTTTCATCAGGCTGTTGTGAGCACTAAATGCAATCTTTGAGAGCAAGGCTTCTCATTAGTACTGGCCCCATAGGAAGTGCTCTGCTGTTGTTGGCTAGTATCAGTGTTCTCGGTAGAGTACTAATTTCAAGTGAGCTTGTATCATTGATAACTTTTTTCAGCTTCACATTAATGTTTTATAATTGACTGGGAACAGCGATGATTAGTGATTTATATATATATATATTTTTTTCTTTTTTTTTTCCATACAGGTTGAGTGTCATTTTTACAAAATTTGATGAGGTCCAAAAATCTGGAAATATGGTACAATCTACAAATGGTGAGTAGAAAAAGCAGTTGTATTTCTGTTTTGGTTCTATGTTGATGTAACCTATGCTATTTCTAAGTAGCTGAACTATATATTGTAGTAAAGGTTTCCAGGTCTGAGGATTTAAACTTCATTCTCCTGCTTTCATAGGCCAGAAACTATAGAGTGATCACTGACTTTGTTTCATAATCTCTATTGAATCTGTTACCTAATCCTGTTGACTTTACTATTAAAACACATCTTCTCACCATCTCTGCTACTGTCTTCCTGGTGTAGGCCACCCTGGTATTTTACAGGACTCTTGGCAGACCCCCAACCCATTTCTTTGCTTCTCTTTGCCACTGCTAAAACGTGTTTTTCTAAGAGGAAACAGAGTAATCCGTTTAGAATGTAAGTCAGGTGCTGTTCCTCCTGTTCATATACACACCCAGACTACAATTCAGGGGGTCCCAGACCACCATTCTGATGTCATTCTTCCGGTTCTTCTTGAAAGTTCTGTGCTCCTACCACATTGGTACTTTTGAGCATTCTGAGCATCCCTTGTTTTCAGGCCTGTGTGCTTAGGATTCCTTTTTCTTGAAACATTTGCCACCTAGCATCAATCATTATGGCCTCTCCCTTCCTGCATCCCTAGGGTACAGCAGAGCTTCCCTCCAGAGGCACCCTGAACAGCAGACCCAGTGCTGCAAGCAGTGTTCTGCCCTCACCCTACTTGATGGTTCTCTACACAGTATTTGTGTATGTTAATCCCCTTTATTTCTCCTTATTTTATTTCCACTTAGCATAAGCTCAGTCTTTCAAAAACTCTTCTTCATATGGAAGGTGTACCGTTACTATTGTTAAATAAATAAAATGATTGTGAAGTGAATGGTGGCCTGTTTCTAGTTCCTGCTTTGTGATGATATTTGTAGACAGATGACAAATTTTTGTGATGACAAAAGGGAAGGAAAAGATAAGGGTAAATTACTGTGAAGAATAAAAAACCATCAGAAAGTCAATTGCTAATAAGAACTTTTAAATACAACTGGGATCATAACATCACCTGCAGATTTTGAAAATCTGAAATGTTTTAAAAAAATGTTGAGTATTTGGTGTATAAAGACAGCATAGGCAACAGAACTCAGGGCTTTGACCCCAGTCTCTGCTGTGTTGATACTGTTATTCCAAAGAACGTTTTCCTTTGGACAGTGCTTCTACTATGAAATGCTCATAGTGCTCTGAAATTGCTTTCGTTAATCCCTCTTGTTTTTCATATCATTATAAAATCAAATGATACTAACAGAAGAAATGATTCTTATTTACTATAATTTGGCCATTGCTAATAATGAAAATAATTTTTCATTTTATTGTCCATTTTTTATAACTGTATAATATGTACATAATTTTAATGATAGCAGTTTTTCTCTATTTTATTCTGTATTATTTATTTGGGACAGGGCCTCACTACATGTAGTTTAGGCTGGGCTTGACCTCACTGTGTCGCCCAGTCTGGCCCCAGACTTGGGGCGATCCTTGTGTGTCAGCCTCCGGAGTACCAAGATTACAGGCATGTACCACTGTGCCTGGCTGCCTTGTATATTTGTATGTGCTTTATATAGACTTTCAAGATTGTATGACCAGTAGAGCTGGGGCCAGAACTGTGCCTGAGTATATGAGCTGGTGATGAGTGGGACTGATAGTGCTCAGGGCTGGGACTTCCCGTTTTGCTGCAAGACACATGCTTTACTTTATGTGTTTGTGTGGTTTATGTGGTTTCTTAGTTTAAAAATTGTCAGTACTGAGAAAGTGCTGGACAGTGGAAGTTGTGGTAGAAAAGGGAGTTAGCGCTTTATATTCTGTACTCAGTATGAGGCAGAATATCATCACTGTGCTGTCACTGGAGAAAACCCTGCCTATGTTGGCGCCTTGCTCAGGAGAGCGTGGACTTCGCTGAACATAACAAGTGAGATGTGAACATCATGAATGCTAGGCCACGGGGCACTGGGTACATTTCAGCAACATTTTATTCTGTCTAGGTATAAATATTGCCCCAAATTTCACTGTGTGTGCACGCGCGTGCATGGATGTCTGTCTGTGTAAGTGAATCTAGGCTTAGGGGTAGGGTTAAAGATGAAACAGCTCTTTAGGCATCTGTGTTAAACAGCAAGCAGTAAGGAAGCCTTAACTTAAAATTTCTTAGAGGCTTATAACTTCAGCACTGTATTTTGTGTATACAGGATTTTGATTGTTCGAGACTGTTTAAAGTAGAAGTAGTAATATAAATGCATGTGAATAAAGATTTGTAGAATTTCTAACCGAATTTTAGTCTTTTTACAGTAACTTTGAGAACTCATATATCCAGTAACTGTCAAAACTAAGTCATCTAATTTCTTTCTTTACTAAATGCATTGAACATTTGGGTAGCATGGAAAGACTGAAGTAGTGATGAAATAAAAATTTCCCCCTCTCTAATTTTTTTCCTTGGAACTTTTGTGGATGTCAAACCATTGGCAGCTTGACTTTCTCTAAGTCCATTCACCCTGTTTTCACCATTTGTTCCTTACTCAGCTTAGATTATGAACAGAATTTTTCTACGTAGACAGTTATGTCACCAGCAGTAGGGACAGTTGCGATCTTCCAGACCCATGTACTTTTAAAAGTCCTTTTTCTTGTCTTACTGTACCAGGTAGAACTTCCAGCGCTGTGTAAAATAAAAACTAAGACTGGACATTCTTGGCTGGTCCTCATCTTGGGTCTTTAACTTCTAAGTATTCCCATTTATTTTTATTTCTCTCTTTTATTGCTTGTGTTTCAGTGTCATACTTAAGTGTTTTTTATATTTTTACCCTAATAAAAAGAAAAAAGAAACTGGGCCTGTCTGTTCCTTTCCTTCTGCCTGTTGGGCTCTGCCTTCTCATTCTTCTTATGATTCAAGCTTGACGCTCAGCCCTCTCCCAGGCTACTGGCAGTGCTTCCTCTCTAGTCATACTTATCCGTAGCTGTCATCTTATGTACTGACCATATCACAGTCTTTTCACAAGTGTTTTTCTCTTGTCCAGATTGTGCCACAAAGTTGTAACTATATGTGGAGCAGTTGCCTGACATTTTCTCTGTATGTATTTGAGACACATATTTAAAGTCAGATTTATATGCTATTTTCTTGTTTTTCTGATTTGTTCTGTTTCTGTTTTTTGAGACAAGGTCTTGCTATGTAGTTCAGGCTGGCCTTAAACTCACCTGGTTGCCCACGCCTGCCTTGAACTCACAGCAATCCTCCTGCTTCAGCCTCCCAAGTGCTGAGATTATAGGCATGTGCCACCATGCCTGGCATTATATGCTATTTTCAACTGGAAGACAAAATGCAAAACAGTAACAGCATCATAATTCCTTTCTGTATTTCCTTTACGCACAACTATTCCATTATCCATCCAGATATTAAGTTAAAGCTTAGGTGCCATCTTGGTAACCACTACCTCACTTTTCCTCTGTATTATCACTGATTCCAGTGGGTTTTAACTTTGGGATTTCCTGAATTAGTCCATGTCTTTGCCTCTGCAGCCATTCTTTAGCTGGTCTACTGACATGGCCTGTGAGCTTCTCCCGGCATCTGTCCTCACCCCACAGACTGTTGTTGCTTTACAATGAGGCCTGACCTTCCCTGAGCAGACTGCTGTGCAGTGATATAGACTGGACTGGAGGGTTTTCTGCTGTCCCCTTTCATCCTTTCCACACGATGGTGTTAAGTAGCATGTAAACATTTCCATTTGAAAAAGATCTTCCTCCTTCCTATTTATCTGTCTTCTGTTTTGTTGTATACATTATACATAGATTGATTCTCACATAAGAGAAACCATGCAATGTTTAAGTTTGTGTATATCTGACTTCACTTAATATTATAGTCTCAGGTCGTGTCCATTTGCCTATGAATGCCTCAAGTTTGTCTTTCTTTATGGCAGATAGTACTCTGTTGTGTATAAATATCACCTTTCCTTTATCTGTTCATCTGTTGGTGGGCATATATGCTGTTTCCAAGATGTAGATGGGTATGCTTGTGTTCCTGTAATATGACAACTTTAACTGTTTTGGGACAATACCTAGAAGGGGAATAGCTCAATCAAATAAAATTTCTATTTTTAGGGGTTTTGTTTGCTTGTTTGTTTTGGGTTTGGGTTTGTTTTTGTTTTTGTTTTTTGGGTTTTTTTTTTGTTTTGTTTTGTTTTTTGAGGCAGGATCTTGCTATATAGTTCAGACTGGGCTTGAACTCATGGTGATCCTCCTGCCTCAGCCTTCCTAGTGCTGGTATTATAGGTGTGTGCCACCACAAGTTACTTTTTAGTTTTTTGAGGAATACACACACACACACACACACACACACACACACACACACACGTGTGTGTGTGTGTGTGTGTGTGTGTAGATTAGTATCCCCTCTGATAGTTTATGTCTTTTATCTGTTATGAATATTGCTGCTTTGAATACTTGAGTAAAAGTTTTTATTTGAAGACCTGCTTTCAGTTCTTTTGCGTGTACACGTACCTAGGATTGGAATTGCTGGCTCACATGGTAATTCTCTTTAACATATTGAGGAACCACCAAACTGTTTGCAACAGTGGTGGCACCACTTTATACTCCACCAGCGATTTCCAGGTTCTCCCCATCTGGAACACTTGTTATCCCCATTTTTTTTTTTTTTTTTTATTATGTTCATCATGGTAGGTGAAGTGGCATCTCATTGTGCTTCTGATTTGCAGTTCCGTAATGACTAATCATGTCAAACACATATTCATATGCTTATTGGTCATCTTTCCTGGAAAAGTCTATTTGTCGTGCACCCCTTGTCTTTTTGTTATTGAACTGAATTTGTTATATCTTCTGAATATAAGTCTATTAGAAGATACGTATTTTCCCATTCTGTGCATTATCTTCTCATTTTCTTTATAGTATCTTGATGTACAGAAACTTTAAATTTTTCTGAAGTCTCATTTATTTTATTTGATTTGTTATTGATGGACGTTAATGCTCTTTTGAATAAG